ATGAACTAATAATAAATAAGTGCAAAAGTTCTATTAATTTTTACGGATTCAAATTCCCACTGGATTTGACGTGGTACTCGACACAACAATGACTGAAATTTTCGACCTATAAAACGTGTAAGCAGACAAGCATATAAAAATAATATGCTTGTAAGAATTAATCCTTTGTAATACAATTTTAAGCGATTTAAAATGAAAAAACATAAGGAGTATATGAGACACATTTCGTTGTACAATTGCAGTAGAGACAATATGAAATGTTATACGCTATGTCACTGAGTATTACTGCTTACTTTCTTTTTCAGTTTTAAAATAGATTTTTTTAGGGAAGTTTTTTTAGATTTAGAAAGCTGGTGAGATTAATTTTCTTTTTAAATAAATAGGTTATTTGAAACAATAAAGAGAATAAGTGAAATAATTAATGTTTAACTCTTTACGCTAGAAAAATATTTTAATAAAAAACGAATCTTCAAGGTCACATTAAATCTTCTACAGATTAAATATAACTATGTACGAAATTTAATACAGTGTTTTTAACGTTTAAAATCATTTGTCGCATACTTTGCATTGTTCATTAGGGTGGTAATTCGTTTTAAAAATTCTTCCAATTAGTAAAATAAGAGAAACTTCAGACGAAAACTGTTTTTGTTTTTCTGGGGAAATTTAGTTTTATTTTTCTCAAGATAAAAACTTCTTGATTTGTGAGAGGTTTTTTTTTAACAAAATTCTTGCATACTTTAAGATCGTGTATCGTCTCTTGCATGAGTGTACAGTATCTTGGAGATTTTCGAAATGACATGACTAACTCTAAAAAAAAGGTTGCATTTAAAGAAAAAAATACATAAATTTTATATTTTAATTTTTAATTTGAAATAAACCTATATTAGACTTTCGATTGCTATGATAATCAGAGTAGGCAGTTTCAAAATCGATGGGTTCTAATATGAAATGTAGCATAAGACCTATACTTAAATTGTACCATTCACGTACTATTTTTTATCTTTGTTCGTATTGAGATAGTTAGGCGACTTATCACTCGTTATGAAAGCAACTATTGACACAGAAGAAGATTTAAATGAATATTTTTATTTAAAAATTTGAACTTAACAAATGCACGTGCTTGCAGTGCGGGCTTAATGCACTAACTTAACAAATTTCTGCTTACATAAACTTTCCATAACTTGCGGAATTCATCTAATATAATTGGAAGTTAAAATTTAAAGTAAATTAATTCTGGAGATTTACGAATACAAAGTTCTATCGAGCTTTGGCTCAACATAAACATAACCAAATTTGCTCCAGCAACTCAGCTAGCAAAACTCTAAATCCAGTCGAAATGAAATCACAGAGCTGGGCGAGAATGTAGCAGAAGAGTCATCATGGCTGCCAAAGCTCTCTAACTTTCAAAAACATACATACATGTCTGATTTGTATCTTTGTAAGCTGATAGAAAATACACAATATAAGAAGATAATGGCCGTGGTGCGATATTGTGACTGTGTAGGATTAATAGTAGTCTTCCTACCAGCACAAAATCCTAGCTCAAAAGCCGGTTTTGTTCCTCTGCCGATATCGAACCTATGCAGATACCCTAAATAACTTTTTGATAATGCGTCATTTCTATTTATAATCTTATGACCCAGTGGACTTGAATAGGAAATTCAGCGCAGACGGAAGCTGTATAAGATTGATAGCCGCTCTATTTGGTGTCCATTCTGTGCAGATGTTGACCCTGTGTAGGTGTCAATTCTTTTTACAAGTGCCCTAAAATTACCTACATTTAACCAAATTCGCAACATTTTGGTTATGTATCTTTACTAATTAAAAGTGTCGTCTACGCTAAGAAAACGTCAATTTCATACTGATTAAATGCTGTGTGGATGACATGCCACTGCCAGTATGTCTATTACGAGTCTATGCAGGCGACAAATATACATGAATCCGCATACTTATTATTACACCATTATGAATTTTTTTCATGGTGTCGACGTTATGATGTGCTTTGAATCTACACAGAGTGGATTCTGTGCAGTGCTTCGATTTTATGCAGTGCTTCAAATACAGAGGCAAATCAAGTCTTTAATAATACATTGTGGGATTCCCTACTATGTAATTCTAAGCTGCTGTTGGAAATGAAGTATCTTAAGAACTGACATGCGAATAATCTCTTGAGTTCGTGTGACAGGAAACAACAAGACAGAAGGGTAAAATATCCTTTTATTATTCCAATTAAAGTTTAACAAAACTTCGTCTTGGAGTTGCACAATAAAGCCGACACTAGGGCTTGAACTTAAGAAACTAAGAATTAAACTAAACTAATCTTAACTAAAGAGATATATCCGAAGCTATCAAGATTCTAACAGAGTTGGCCCCTTAACGCTAATTGACTGCGAAGCTATGAAGGGCCTAAAGTACGGCCGAGCGTAATAATAGCTTACGAAAGAGTAGCCTAAAAAGGCGGACACGTGCAACCAGAATATTTGGTATCTCTCTCACTAAGACTGTAGAACTTCGCGGTTATATACCGCTCTTCCTCATTAGCATTCAGATGTGCTTCTAAAACTACGTTCTGCCCGGAAGGTGGTAAGTTGAAGTAAGAATCGATAGGAAAGGAAGTTTAACTCAAATTTAACTTCTAACCAAATAACATAATCCAAAAAATAACAAATCTAGCATACTAGTCACAAAAGGCAGGCCAAGTTGCCAACTGGACAAGAATGCCAACTAGGCAAGACGGAATTTTATTTTAACTAGGATTTGTAGATTCTAGAGACCGCGAATTTAAACGGGTTTAGGACTTTTCGCCGTCGCCATTTCACCGTGGCTGTTGTGAAACTGATTAGTTGTATCTAACAAATATTAAAAACAAATCTCTTCATTTTGATGTACGAGACACAGATGGCGCTGGCTGTCATTGAAGTAGGAAGAAAAAAAGGGTTTTTCCCTTTCGACCTCGTGACGTGAACTGATTAAGATGTGTAATAACTTTCGGGGCCAGAAAAATTTCCCGACAATTGTTAAAAAATGTATATATTTTGTAGTGTAGAGAGAATATAATTAGATAAATCAACTTCTTAGAGTTTTTATTCAGATTCAACATCACACTACCCAGGTAAGTGAGCAAGTTTTGTCTTTAGTTTTTCTGGATTGCTCGGTATCTGGGATGAGTGAAGGAAGTATTTTTATTTTAATGATATTTAACGATAAGACTATGTTTTAGTAATAACATATAGTGGCGTCCCGAGATAGGACTCTAAGAAATAAACTTCTTACAACAGGTTTTCTTACAACCAGAGAACATGCATGTATTTTTTGTGGTAAAATGCATGATAGTAAAAATTGTTACGATGCGCGTTCATTATCTCTTAATGAAAGGATTTCTAAAGTTAAGGAGAAAAAATGCTGTTTAAAATGCTTGGAACCAAATCATATGGCAAAGTTCTGTAAACAGTTTGTTAGGTGTTTTGCTTGTGGTAAATCACACTCAGTTATTTTGTGTCCGGACATTAATAATGAAACTGAACTCCTAATGAAAATCAGAAATAGACAACATACATACGGCTACACAGCCAGGCAAACTTGTACCGCTGACGTAGCTTTAATGACTTTATGCGTAAGAGTAGCTGGTGTCAAAAAGCATAAAGATGTTAGAGTACTCTTAGATTGTGGTTCCCAGAAATCGTATATTTTGAAATCATTAGCCACTGAATTGGGGTTACCAATTATTTCCAAAGAAAATGTTGCTCTTACTTTATTTGGAGGTGCCAGAACAGAGGCAAAGATGCATAACAAATATTTGGGTAAAAATTATGTTCAGCCAGTCCGCGTAAGTATTCAGATCTAGAATTTGAATTTTTAGATCAAGACATAATATGTGGGGATATACCTCGGGTACCCAAGGGTCCGATATTAAAAGAATTAAAACGAAACAACATTTGGTTGTCGGATCTGGGAGCAGATTGTCCAAAAATAGAAATGCTCATCGGTAGTGATATTTATGGAAAAATTCTCACGGGATCAGTAAAACAATTAAAAGGAGGACTAACAGCAGTTTGTACGAAACTTGGTTGGACAGTTTGTGGTGTATCGGAGGAATTTGTTAATCACAAAGATAAAGATGCTTCCATTTTGTGTGCAAGTTTAGTGGGTCACGACTTTAAAATCTCCGATCTTTGGAGCTTAGAAACGATCGGAATATTAGATGCTCATCAGAATTCAACTAACGCTGCTGAGGAAGAAATTGCCCACGAACAATTTTTAAACTCTCTTTCCAGAAACGAAGATGGTCGTTATTGTGTCGGATTACCTTGGTTAGTATATAACGCAGAATTGCCATCAAATCGTCATGTAGCAGAAAAAGATTGCTCAGTGTCACTCGAAAAACTCAAGTCTTTACATAAATATGAGGAATATGATAGAATTTTTAATGAATGGATGGAGGAGGGTGTTGTAATTGAAATAGTACCAGACAATGAACTGAATTATAAAGGGCACTACTTACCGCATCACCCAGTATTTAAACCAGACAGTGTCTCAACTAAGATAAGACCTGTTTTTGACGCATCATGTAAAGTTAATAGATCGCCCTCCCTTAATGATTACTTTAGTAAAAGGACCAAATTTAATAGAAGAAATCCCTTCAATTTTGTTAAGATTTAGAGAAAAATGCATTGGCGTAACCTCTGATATCCGGCGTGCATTTTTACAGATTGAATTACGGAAAGAAGATAGGGACTTTTTTAAGATTTTTATGGTGGGAGAAAGATAATGTACTGAAGGTTTTCCGCCATACGAGGGTAGTTTTTGAAGTAAAGTCTAGCCCTTTTCTATTAGGAGCGGTTATTTCAGTTCATTTGGCACAAGTACCAAAGGAACAAAGTTCTATTGCTCAGAAATTAAATAAATCCTTTTATATTGATAATTGTGTGACTTCTGTTGATAACGAAAAGGAGCTTGTGAATTTTGTGAAATCTTCTACTGAAATATTAGCTGAAGCAAAAATGGACTTACGTATGTGGACCTATGGCCCAGCAGAAAAAGATGTGGAACTAACCCAAAGTGCTTTGTGCACTGAGTCCACAATAGAGAATTCTGTACCAGTTTTAGGGATTATGTGGGACAGAATAGAAGATAACCTTTATATTGAAATTAAGACTGTATTGGTTTCGGACGATTTGTCTAAAAGAGAGGTTTTGTCAGTAACGCAGACAATGTTTGATCCTTTGGGTTTCTTGACACCTGTTTTATTGCCTGCAAAGTTACTGCTACAGGAAATTTGGGCGATAAAAGCAGACTGGGATACTCCATTACCAGATAGTATCAAAAGTAAATTTTCGAGGTGGTATAATAAATTACAAATTTTGAATAAGTTGAGAATACCGCGACGTATAGGTTTTGGAGATAGAAGTTCCTGGACACTTCATGTATTTTGTGATGCTAGCCAGCATGCTTATGCCACGGTAATATTTTTGAGATGCGAAACTAAAGAAGAAACATTAGTCAGTTTTGTAATGGCTAAGTCAAGAGTCGCACCCTTAAAAGAACTTACTATTCCCCGTCTAGAACTTATGGCCTGTCTTTTGGGCGTGCGTCTTTTCCAAATATGTGACAGAAGCTCTTACATTAGATGACATCCCGAAATATTTTGGACCGATTCCACCACGGCCATATCTTGGATTCAAAGAAATGATGCGTGGGGGACTTTTGTGGGCAATCGCGTGAAGGAAATTTGCGCTTTCACTAAAGCAAATCAGTGGTCATATGTACAGGGTCATTCTAACCCAGCTGATTTACCTTCTCGTGGTTGTTCCCCTCTTCAGTTTTTCGAATTAAATTGGTGGAGAGGGCCTGTTTGGCTCAAAGACCCTAGAGATAGCTGGCCAAAATTAGAGGTTAAGCCAAATGAAACTTTAGTTTTTTCAGAGCGCAGGAAAGGCATAAATTTAAATGTAAATCTTAGTATAACTACAAAAGCGGATAAAGTTAAGTGGTGTGAGAAGTTCTCTAAATTTTCAAAAATGTTAAGAGTTTTAGGTTGGATAAAGAGATTTATCAAAAATTGTCAAAAGAAAATTGTAAATAAAGAGCCTTTTCTGTCTGCTTCCGAGATAAAGGAATCTAAAATTATACTTCTTTCACTTGTTCAGGGGGAGAGTTTTCCAGAGACTGGAGACTCCATCAATGGTCTTTTGACCGTACGAGATCAGAGTGGCTTAAGAAGAGTAAAAAACGAAAATCACCGAACGAGATGATTCTTATGCATTCCGGTACCCGATTTTATTACCTTCTAAGCATTATATTGTTGACTGTTTAATTAGAGATTACCATTTAAAGCATTCTCATGCCGGCGTACAAGCATTAACTGTTATAATTAGAGAAGAATTCTGGATCATTGGTGCAAGACGCCGAATTAGATCGGTGGTGAAACAGAAACAGTGCGTCCGTTGTAAACGATTTTCAGCAAAACCTCCAACTACTGCACCCATTCAATTACCATTAGACAGAGTTCGAGATGCTTTCGCATTTGAAGTTACCGGCATAGATTTATGTGGCCCTCTGATTCTCAAAAATAAAAACAAAGACTGGGTAGTACTGTTTACGTGTGCTGTATATAGATGTGTACATTTGGAACTAATGACATCCGTAAGTACCGAATGCTTCATTCAAGCGTTTCGTCGGTTCATAGCCAGAAGAGGTCGGCCATCTACAGTTTACTCAGACAACGGCACAAAATTTCGTCGGTACATCTGCATTGCTGAAAAAGGTTGACTGGGTGGTAAAGGTAATTTGCTCAGGAAACTTTGCATCCCATCACTTGGAAGTTCATTCCGCCCACTGCTGCTTGGTGGGGCGGATGGTGGGAGCGTCTAATCCGCACAACCAAGAATTTGATTGTGAGAGTCTTAGGACAAGCTGCAGTCAATTACGAAGAGTTACTCACCGTCATCTGTGATGTGGAAGCCGTAATAAACTGTCGACCACTTACTTATGTGTCAAATGACTCTGAGGATCTTCTACCATTAACGCCTTCCATGTTCTTACAGGACATTAAGGTTTCAGGTACAGCAGATTTGGATACTTTAGATCGAAATAAACTCTTGGCTCGTCAGCGTTTCTGCCAGGAACTTCGAGAACAATTTCGTAGCCGTTTCTGCAAGGAGTTACCTTGGACAGTTAGTACAAAAGCATGGACAGGACTGTGAATTAAAAGTTGGAGACATCGTGCTAATAGGTTGTGAGAACCTTAAAAGAGTGGACTGGCCAATTGCTCGTGTCCAAGAACTTTGTACAAGCAGAGATGGACGTGTAAGAGTTGTAAAAGTGAAAACTAGAAATGGCATACTGATTCGTCCTGTACGTAAACTGTACCCTCTAGAAGTGTGTTCCTGTACTAAGGATACCATTATTTGATTTTTGATTTTGCTTCTGAAAATCAAAAAGGTGGGAGTGTTGTGAAACTGATTAGTTGTATCTAACAAATATTAAAAACAAATCTCTTCATTTTGATGTACGAGACACAGATGGCGTTGGCTGTCATTGAAGTAGGAAGAAAAAAAGGGTTTTTCCCTTTCGACCTCGTGACGTGAACTGATTAAGATGTGTAATAACTTTCGGGGCCAGAAAAATTTCCCGACAATTGTTAAAAAATGTATATATTTTGTAGTATAGAGAGAATATAATTAGATAAATCAACTTCTTAGAGTTTTTATTCAGATTCAACATCACACTACCCAGGTAAGTGAGCAAGTTTTGTCTTTAGTTTTTCTGGATTGCTCGGTATCTGGGATGAGTGAAGGAAGTATTTTTATTTTAATGATATTTAATGATAAGACTATGTTTTAGTAATAACAGTGGCCGTTTCATCGTCGGGATATTTCGCCGCCGGGATGTTTAGCCGTCAAGACATATTTTTCTTTACATGACCGTACTTTATCTTCCATTATTATACTCTTATTAAATTTATTTAGTTTAATAATTCTGTTTACCTTTTGAATACTTAATAAAAGTTGCTTTTAATATATAGTTATTTACAAGCATGAGATATAAAGAAATTACATATAGTAAGTTGGAAAATTATGTCAGTATCAAAGAGAACTGGGGCTAAAATTCTGATATAACAAAAGTTATATTACCGATTTTAAAATTATGCATGTACAATGCTTACATGATTCGTCAGAATTTCTTGAAATTTTAATCGGCTAATTCAGAGAAATCACTCATACAAGCAAGGAATTCACAGTTTTGTGAAATCTGAATGGAAAACGGAATTACTTTGGAATCTTGTCAGCACCTTACTCTCTTAAAATTAATATATCATGTGTAACGGTGTATTTGCATAAAACGGTACACAAAAACATTTTATATAAAATGTTTATTAAACTAAATTAAATTATTGAACTAAACAAAGTTATTAATTGAAATCAACTTAATATAATACAGTCGTGTAGAGAAAAATATGTCTTGACGGCGAAACATCCCGACGGTAAAATGGCCTGACGTCGAAACGGCCACGTCGAAACGGCGAATAGTCCCATTCCCATTTAAACAAGGCCAAGAGCGCGGGATTTCCATTACCTGCCGTTACCATGCACCTTAGGTGCATTATAAGTAACAATATGGCATTGCCCACCTCTATCCTTATCTTGAAGGAGAATCTCCAGATGGATGCATGAAGTGTTTCCTACCTTTCATCTTCTACCACCAAATCATTACAGAGGACTTTCAGCTCGCCATGTATTTTAAATACCTACCCCGCAAAGAAGCCTCCATCCTTCTGCAAGATTCAAAGCCAAGTTCAACGATGCGACAGCCAGCAACGCTAACAAGACATATTTCACCGATCAGGCTGTGTTTTTTTGTATGCATAATGCTTTATTTGAATTCACAAATTTTATTTTTTATCTTCCGTTTACTATTCGGAGGGTAAATTCAATGAAATTTAGGGTATATTATAGAAGTGAAATGTGTTTCCTTGTTCTGCCGTGTCTTAAAGATAAGTTATTTATCAAATTCCCTTAAAGAGACAGTACAGTCTTCCCCGCGACAGAAGCATAAGCAATCCACTGAGCCATTTTTGGGATCCGAACTACTAATCTTCCAATTGTTAGCTAACCATTTACATCACGAGAAGCACTCAAAGAGTGCGATAATTTCTTATCCTTTATTTCATCTGAATCAAACAATGTAGGTAATTTACGAGTATTTCAGTCTTTTGGACTGCCACCTGGATGGCCTGGTCGCTGGGTTTCGGTGTATGGTGCGAGGCGCCTGTGTGGCCCATCTGGCTCAAGATAGAGGTGGACGTGCTGCATATGCCAATTAACCATTACGGTAAAGGGATGGTGCACACGTCCCCCGTCAACTATCAACTATTATCCTTTATTTCACAGAAATGTAAGAGAAAAAGGTAAATTTGCATGCAATGCAATTTGTTATTATTTCATTAAACATTAGTATATATTATTGGGAGGAAGTTCACTTAATTTTCATTCCAATATAAATATTACATAATTACCGCGTTATATTAAAGCGTTTTGTATGATCAATAGCAGAAATTTGAAGTTATTTACCCATCTATAAGAGAATACCGACTTTTAATTAACAGTGTTTTATGATACAATGTTGTTGTTACCCTCAAACTATTTCTTCTATTTCTTGAAAAGAATGAGCTAAAAGTCTTCATAATTTTAGAACTGTAGATCTGGGATTTTCTGATTTTGTTTAAAAAAAAAAGAGTGCGCTTTGGCAGCAATTAATTTCGTAACAATTAGTATATTGACCCTGGTACTTTACTGAGTTTTACCCCTCCTCCCCCTTAAAAAAGAAAAGAAAGAAAGTGTCAATTTCTGGTCGTGTAATTTCCACTTTAGTGTTTTTTTTTAAAGATACTTTAGTTTCGAAACTTAAAAAAAATCAATGAGATGCTGCAAGATTTTCAAAGTAGAAAAATTTTGCAAAATTGTTAAAGAAAAACAATGTAACTTTTTCATTTAATATTGGCACCAGCGCAAAGTAATTTTACTGTTTAGTGAATTTTACTGTTTAGTGAATTCTTCAGTCATGATCTCGAGGTAATGCATTCTGCTAACTGTTGTGCTTCAGGTAAAAAAAAAAAAAAAAAAAAAAAAAAAAAAAAGTTAAAAAACAAAATCTGAAATGTTTCAGATTTTAAATTACGTCCAAAGGGGCGTTTTTTAACGTTTTGTGTGTTACCTTTCTTTATTAAATATCATGTTCCTCGCACTTAAACCATAAGATCCAGTGCAACAGCAATATCGCAAAATAGTTTTAAAACGAGCATATCTTTAGAATTTCCGATACAGAGACTCACGCGCTGGAGATAAAAATGTTTTTTCTGCACAACGTTGCCATTGCTCGCTTTGAAATCCTTGAGTTTGTTAATCAAAAATTCGTCAAAGTTTTAAAAAATAGGAAATCGATCATAAAACAAATTTCAAATTTCAAATTTGGTCTTCCACATGCTCATATTCGTTGGAGGATTACGTTATTCAAAATTCGATGACTCTATGTACCGTTGTTTTATCACAATACGAGAAATATACATACATTTATGCAGATTTTTCATTATTTAATTTCTTCAAATATAATGCAGGACTCTAATATTTTGTGGCAACAGTTTGAAAAGTGAACCGACATTTATCCGTCCGACGCAAAATGCCAAAACGAAACTAATAGTCCTTCGGGATTCAAATCCCTTTGGACTAAAAATTTGAAAGCTGTCAGATTTTATAGTATGTCCAAATGAGCGTTTTTTTTTTAACGTTTTGTGCGTTACCTTTATTTATTAAATACCATGTTCTTCGCACTGAAACCATAAAATTCAATTCAATAGCAATATCGCAAAATAATTTAAAAAGCGAATATATTTCCAATTCCCGATACACAGTCTCGCGCGCTGGCGAGTTGCTTAATCAAGAACTCTTAACTACTTTACATAATATGGAATTGATAGTAGAAAAAATTGAAAATTTGGTTTCCCAGATGCCCATATTCGAAAGGAGACGTACGCTATTCTAAATTTGATGGCTCTAGGTACCGTTCCTTTATCACAGTGTGAGAAACATACATACATTTATGCAGATTCTTCACTGTTTAATTTCATTAAATATAACAGAGGTGTATATGTAGAGGTAACAAATATAATATTTGGTGGCAACTATTTGGAAAGTAAAACGGACATTTAAAAGTTTTAACACAAAATGCCAAAACGAAATTAATAGACTAGCGCCCTTTGTGTTAAAAACTATTAAATGGTGTGATAAAAAGGAAATCTGAAAGCTTTCAGATTTTATATTACGCCCAAAGGGGCGTTTTTTTAATGTGTTGTGTGTTACCTTTATTTGTTAAATATTATGTTAAACGCACTTAAAACACATAAAATTCAGTGCAACTGCAATATTGCAAAATATGTAAAAAGAACAAACCTTTAGAATTTCCAATACACAGTCTCGTGCGCTGGAAATAATTTTTTTTTCGTACAGTGTTGCCATTGCTCTCTTTGAGATTGTTGAGTTTCTTAGACAAAAATTCGTTAAAATTTTACAAAATTTGAAACAGATGATAAAACAAATTCGAAACTGAAAATTCGGGCATCCAAGTGCCCATGTTCGGTTAGAAAACTACGTTATTTATATTTTGATGGCTGTAGGTACCGTTTTTTTTTTTTTTTTTCATAATGCGAGAAACATTCATGCATTCATGCAGATTATTTTATATTTAGCTTTTTTATTATAATACAGAGCCATAATAGTTGGTGGCAATAGTTTGAAAAGCGAATAAAAAAACTGTATTACGCCCAAACTGTGTAAAAAACTGTATTACGTAATAGCCCTTCTGGACTAACGCCCTTTGGGCTAAAAATCTGAAAGTTTTCTGATTTTGTATTACGCCCAAACGGGCATTTTTATCATTTACAGGCACATAAACATTTCGAAAGTATTTAGGCTAACGCCACTTCGGGCTGAAAGTAATTAAAAACAGATATAATTAGAGTTTCCGATAGACAGTCTCACCCACTGGAGATAAAAATGTTTTACCTCCTACAGTATTGTCAGTAGTCCCTTTGAAATCATTGAGTTTTCAATCAAAAATTCGTATAAGTTTCACGAAATATGAAATAAACGATAAAAAAAATTCCATATTCGTGCTTCCAGATGCTCATATTCATGTGGAGGGCTACGTT